AAGAGAATGCTAATACTTATGTTCACAAGTGTAGAATTCTGGCAACCCAATTTCCACTCCAGAATAGGATTTCTAGAATGTAAACACTGATATCTACTGCAGGTTTGGGATGAGAAACCTGGGTGAAGAGGCCCCCATATATTGTCAATTCACTCACTCATTCACTTACCTACTCACTGTATTGATGCCTATTTATCATTGCCTCCCACGCCCCCCCCACACACACACACATCCCCTGCTCCATGGGGACAGACTATGTGACTCTATATTTCTCCCACCCATCCCAACCACCCTTGATTGATTACAATTAATTATGTCACTGGTTCTTAGTGGGGTTGTTCCATTCCCTAAGAGGCATTTGGAAAACTTGGAGGATTGTCTTCTATTTTAGTTGTGACCAAGAATTAAAATATTGAGATAGACCCAAAGGGAGACTGTATATTTAAAAAAAATTTTTCTCCTTTATATTAGGGGGATTACAGTAAATTTTAAAAAACATGTGTATGCATATAGGCTAAGTTATATTTGATTTTATGTCATGATAGCAAAGAGGGTCTTACAAAATATATAAAGGGTGTATTGGCAGGGGACCTCTGCCTGCGGCTGAGAAGGGACATAGTAAATCCTCTTCCCTAAAAGCAATTATAAAGCTGGACAAAATTGATCAAAACAGCCATGTAGCACTCTGGACATCAACCAAAGGCATACCACAATGGGAGCAGTATTTGGGCTTGAAAGCTAGAAATTTGGGCAATAACAGTGAGAATCTGTGGCATTCTCCCCTAAGGCTGCTCCCATTCTCCCCTCCCAGCTCCCAGCAGAGAGCTTCCACTAGTGTGGAGAAGTTTCTCTGCTCTGGATCTGGGGCAGTAAGCAGTACCCACTCTTGGCAGCCTCGTAGGTTTAAGTGAAAATCCCCAAGGCAGAAAATCAGGACGGCCGACAGCTCTACAGACTGAGGTTGCCAGTTGTGATTGGGCAAATATATCCCTGGCTCTCTGGAAATTAGAGAAGACCCCATCCAGCCACACACTCCTGGCCAACCCCTAAGCTGTGCACGGGTGCAAAGATGAAAAAGAATCCAGCAGAAAGTAAACCATAGGAAACACATGAAAATGGCCCGAATTTTGAGCGTGCTCTTGCTATCAGCTGCTTCTAAAATGTCTCCGAGTGATCCTCACTTCCTAGGATCCTTATGTGATCCTCACTTTGGGTGAGGCCTGCACATAGTGACCCGCTTCTAATAAACGGAACATGGCAGAGGTGATGGGTGTCACTTCCGAGGCTAGGTTATAAAAGAATGACTTCTGCCTTGCCCTCATTCTCTCTCGGGTTCTTCTCCCTTGCTGCTCTGATGAAGCAAGCTGCCATGTTGCAAGCTTCCCTGTGGAGAGTCGTAGGTCACAAGAAACTGAAGGTGGCCTTCTGCCAACACCAGCGAAGGATAAACTCAATTCAATGACCTGCAAGCAACCCAGTCCTGCCAACAACCAGATCAGGAACTTGGAGGTAGACCCTCCCCCAGTCAAGCCTTCAGATGACTGCAACCTGGCCAACACCCTGACCAGAATCCTGACCCATGGAAACTGTGCAAAAATAAATGTTTTTGTTTGAAGCCCCTAAACTTTGGGTTGATTTGTTATGCTGCAATAGGATAACTGACACAGCTCCCCTACCCACACACAGATTCCAGAGGACAGACAGTTTACTCACTTGAGGTATTTGAGCACAATCTCAGTCCACTCAGACATGCAGACACGGAAACAACGCTTAGGAAGCCAGACTTAAATATAAAAACGAAAATACAAAAAATTTAATTGGAAACTTCAGTGGTTTCACACCATTAGGAAGACAGGATTCCCAGACTGGAATTGTCTGATTCACAGAGCCTGGGTAAGTTATTAAACAAATAAACACATGGAAAAAAAACAAAACAACAATGATAAACCTGGCAGGAATCAGAATCCAAAGTTGCTACAATATTTTTTTAATGTCCAGTTTTCAACGAACAAATTACAAGATATGCAAAGAAACAGGAAAATCTGGGACGTGCTCAGGAAAACATCTGTCAATAGACACTGTCTCTGAGCATTCCCAGATGTTGGATTTAGCAAAGACCTCAAATAGCTACTATAAATATGGCCAAAGAACTAAAATAAATGATGTTTAAAATGTTAAATGAAAGTATGACAACAATGAATCAACAGAAATTCTAAATAAGGAGACAAAAATTATTTTTTAAAAAAGGGAAATTCTGGGGTTGAAAAGTACAATTGAAATGAAAATTGTACCATAAAGATTCAACAGGGACACCTGGGTGGCTCAGTCAGTGAAGCGTCTGCCTTCGGCTCAGATCATGGTCACAAGGTCCTGAGATCGAGCCTGCATCGGGCTCCCTGCTCCGTGGGAAGCCTGCTTCTCCCTCTCCCACTCCCCCTGCTTGTGTTCCCTCTCTCGCTGTGTCTCTGTCAAATAAATAAATAAAATCTTTAAAAAAAAAAAAAGATTCAACAAAAATTATATATGGCTGAGGAAAGAATTAGTGAACTTGGAGAAAGGTTGATAGAAATTATTCAATCTAAGAACAGGGGAATGATTGAAGAAAAATGAACAAAACTTCAGAGCTCAGGGGTGCCTGGGTGGCTCAGTCAGTTGAGCAACCTACTCTTGGTTTCAGCTCAGGTCATAATCTCCAGGTCGTGAGATGAAGCCCCAAGTTGGGGGGGTCCACACTCAGTGGGGAGTCTGCTTGAAAATTCTCTCCCCCTGCCCCTCCACCAACTCATGCTCACACTCTCTCTCAAGTAAATTAAAAAATACATCTTAAAAAAAGACAACTTTAGAGCCCAGTGGGATAACATTAAGCATGTCAACCGGTGTGTAATGAGGGTCCCAGAAATAGAAAGAGAAAGGAACAGAAAAAAATAATGGGAAAAACAATAGTCAAGATCTTCCAGAATCTGATGGAAAACATTAAATACATATCCCAAAAGTTCAACAAGCCTCAAGAAGAATTAATACAAAGAGATCCACACCCAGACTCACCATAGCAAACATTTTTTAAGATATTATTTATTTATTTTGAGAGAGAGAGAGGCATGAGCAGAGGGGAGGGGCAGAGGGAGAGGGAGAAGCAGACCCCCCACTGAGCAGGGAGCCTGTTGTGGGACTCGATTCCAGGACCCTGGGATCATGACCTGAACTGGAGGCAGAGTTTTAACCAAATGAGCCACCCAGGTGTCCCATAGTACACATTTAAAAGACAACAGACAGAGGGTGCCTGGGTGGCTCAGTCGGTTAAGCGACTGCCTTCGGCTCAGGTCATGATCCTGGAGACCCGGGATCGAGTCCTGTATCGGGCTCCCTGCTCAGCGGGGAGTCTGCTTCTCCCTCTGACCCTCCTCCCTCTCGTGCTCTCTGTCTCTCATTCTCTCTCGCAAATAAATAAATAAAATCTTTAAAAAAAAAAAAAGACAATAGACAGAAAAATTCAGCAAAAGAAAAATGACTCACATGTACATGGGAGCAACAATATGATTAACAGCTCACTTCCCATTCAAAACAATGGAGAGCAGAAGGTAGTGAAATGGTATATACAAAATGCTGGGGGAGGGGGGGATTGTTAACCAAGAATTCTACTATCCAGCAAATCTTTCTCCAAAAATGAAAGTAAAATAAAGACATTTCCACATGCACAAAGACTAGTAGAATTCATTGCTAAAACCCTGCAAATATATTTGTAAAATGAATGAAGCCAGATACAAAAGACTACATGTATATAATTCCATTTATTTAAAACTCTAACAGACAAAACAAACCTATGAGATTAGAAGTTAAGATAGTGTTTACTCTTGGAGGGTGACCGTGACCAGCAGGAGCCATAAGGAGGAGTTCTGGGGACACTGGTTACACAGGTGTCTTCGTTGGTGATTCTGGCACATTTCTGTATAGATAGTTTCCTTCAATAAAAGTTTACTGAAACAAAAAGGAAGCTTGATCATACCACTCCTTCCCCTCTTTTTAAATCCCTTTATTGTTTTCCCCTTCCCAATTTGAGCAAACCTGTGACTTCTAAGGTCCTGTCTTGTCTGGTCTTTGCCCACCTCACCAGCATCATTTCTCACTCTGGTACTCTAGACTTTGGCCTTCTGTTGGTCCTCAAGTCTGCTGTGCTTTCATCCTGCCACAGGGCCTTTGCACATGCTCATCCCTCTGTTCCAGTGCCCCACTGAGACCTACTTACCCTTTAGCTCCTAGCTTGAGTGGTGACCCACCCACCCCCATCCAAATCTAGTTCTTTCGCTTCATCTACTTTACAAAATTACATTTCTTTCCTTCAGAGCCCTCATTTTCACTTGCCGTTATGGATTCGTAGAGTAATTTGACTGCTGCTTTGTCTTTCCCACTAGCCCATCTGTTTTAGGAGGTTTGGCTATGTTATTTTGCATTGTGTCCCCAGGACCGTGCCCGGTACATAGTAGGTATTTGATAACTATCTGTTCAGTGAACATAAAAGTTATTGAGGCTATAAAAACTTCATTTTAATTAGAGTACATTGTAGAAGGCCTGGATACCAAACTAAGGAATTTATATTTTTTATCAGCTGCAGGGAGCCACTGAAGTTTTTTGAGAAAGGGAGCTATGTGACCTTTGTTTACGAGCTCTATGGAAGTGGAGATGGAGAGCCCATAAGGGAGGCCGTTGGGGGGTCCAGACAAGGGACTGTGCCTACAGAGGGGCTGTGGCCGTGTGGAGAAGCTGATGTTGTGCCCCACTCTGCTCCCCCAGGCTAGCCTGACAGTGACCTCACAATCACCCTGCAGACCTCCCACCCTTGGAGGCCAACATCCCAGCTGCTGGCCTACCTCTGCCTTTTATATCCACCTCCTAAAGGCCACACCCTGCCAACTGAAGTCCTCCAGGCCAGCTACTAGAGACAGAGGGATCAACAAAGCCACAGTGCACCACCTTCCCACCCAGCGCACAACCAGGACTCCAAAATGACAGAGATATCAGAGCCCCTAAAGGATGCAATGCCCACAGAGAGGAAGTCCACGTGGAGGACGGCCGAGGAGAGGCGGATGTCCGACCTCACTCGGGTGCTGGAGTGGCTGGAGCGGAGGCAGGGGAAGACAAAGCAAGTATGTGCTCTCCAAGTATGGGCTGTCCCAGCAAAACCGCAAGGCAGCTGAACTCAAGACTATTCCAGTAGGGGAGAGACTGAACTTGACTCCCAGAAAACAGAAGGTGGGAGGAGCTTTAAGCAAGGGAGTGAACTAGTAGAAAAGTCTTCACGGAGAGAGAGGAAGTTGCCCATGTGGTTAGGCCGGCTGTGTCTGCCAATTTTCACTCAAGTAGTTAGGTTCCTACCTTCCCACAGAGACTGGGAGGACGGGCTGCTATCTTTCCAGATGATTACATTTCTTTTTTTAAAAAAGATTTTATTTATTTATTTGAGAGAGAAAGAGCACGAGCAGGGGGAGGGTCAGAGGGAGAGGGAGAAGCAGACTCCCCCATTAGTTGAGGGCTTGATCCCAGGACCTCCAAGATCATGACCTGAGTAGAAGGCAGACACTTAACCCTTAACTGACTGAGCCACGCAGGTGCCCCCTGATGATTACATTTCAAAGGGATGGCTTCCTGGTCCTTGAGAAAAACATTCCTGGATTATAAAACTAGCAAGAGGCTAGGAGAAGATTTACATCTCAAAGGGGCAGGGAAAGAATTTACAAGTGCCAGTTTTTTTTAAAAGAAAAGAAAAGAGAGGTCATGGGCCTAGAGCCAGGAAGGAACCTATCAGGAGTTTAATCAAGATGAGGGGAGCATTCAGGCTGTCTTGATCAGGTTCCAGAAGAACTTAGGGGCAATAACTTCTAAGATCTCGGAGGTGGCAGAATGGGTCCTCCCCACTGTCCCTAGACACTTCCTTACTGACCATGGCTCCAGGGTCAAAGGGCATTCAGTCTCCAATGCCACTACCCCACTGGGATCCCTACTAACATACCTCCTCCTTTCTACCCTGTATCACAACTAGTTCCCATCCACAGGTCTTAGTCCTTTGGGGCTACTGTAACAGAATACCATAGATTGAGTGGCTTATAAACAGCAGCAATGAATTTCTCCCAGTTTAGAGGCTAGGAAGCCCAAGATCAGGGTGCTGGCAGATTTGGTGTCTGATGAGGGCCCACCTCCTTCTTCATAGACGGCCACCTTCTTGCTGTGTCCTCACAGGAAGGAAGAAACTGGAGACCTCTCTATGGTCTCTTTCATAAAGTCACTAATCCCATTCGCGAAGGCTCTACCCTCATGATCTAATCACTTCCCAAAAGCTCCCCTCCTAATACCATCACACTGAAAGTTAGAATTTCAACATAGGAATTGGGGTGGGGGGGACACAAACATTCAGTTTATAGCACCGCCCTTCACTCTTTCTCCAGGAACTATGGCAGCCAATTTTGCCTCAGTTTCCCCCAGAAATCCCTCAGGCCCATCATCTATGGGAAAATCAAGCCATGTCCTTAGAAAGTGGTCTCTGTAGAGGATGCCACCTGATCTTGAATTCCCCAGCCCCCAGAGAAAAATGAGTGAAAAACGGCATCACTAATGACAATGCTAATGTTTATTAAGCATTTACCATGTGCCAGGCCCTGTGCTCAGCATCACACATGAATTTTCTTATCAACAGCTCTCAGCAGGGCCTACAGCGGAGGTACCATTCTTTTTTTTTTTTAACTTTTTATTGTTATGTTAATCACCATACATTACATCATTAGTTTTTGATGTAGTGTTCCATGATTCATCATTTGTGCATAACACCCAGTGCTCCATGCAGAATGTGCCCTCTTTAATACCCATCACCAGGCAAACCCATCCTCCCACCCCCCCTCCCCTCTAGAACCCTCAGTTTGTTTTTCAGAGTCCATCGTCTCTCGTGGTTCATCTCCCCCTCCGATTTCCCCCCCTTCATTCTTCCCCTCCTGCTATCTTCTTCTTCTTTTTTTTTTTAACATATATTGCATTATTTGTTTCAGAGGTACAGATCTGTGATTCAACAGTCTTGCACAATTCACAGCAGTCACCATAGCACATACCCTCCCCAATGTCTATCACCCAGCCACCCCATCTCTCCCACCCCACCCCCCACTCCAGCAACCCTCAGTTTGTTTCCTGAGATTAAGAATTCCTCATATCAGTGAGGTCATATGATACATGTCTTTCTCTGTTTGACTTATTTCACTCAGCATAACACCCTCCAGTTCCATCCATGTCATTGCAAATGGCAAGATCTCATTCCTTTTGATGGCTGCATAAGATTCCATTGTATATATATACCACCTCTTCTTTATCCATTCATCTGTCGATGGACATCTTGGCTCTTTCCACAGTTTGGCTACTGTGGACATTGTTGCTATAAACATCAGGGTGCATGTACCCCTTCGGATCCCTACATTTGTACCTTTGGGGTAAATACCCAGTAGTGCAATTGCTGGATCATATGATAGCTCTATTTTCAACTTTTTGAGGAACCTCCATACTGTCTTCCAGAATGGCTGCACCAGCTTGCATTCCCACCAACAGTGTAGGAGGGTTCCCCTTTCTCCGCATCCCTGCCAACATCTGTCCTTTCCTGACTTGTTAATTTTAGCCATTCTGACTGGTGTGAGGTGGTATCTCATTGAGGTTTTGATTTGGATTTCCCTGATGCCGGGCCATGTTGAGCACTTTTTCATGTGTCTGTTGGCCATTTGGATGTCTTCTTTGGAAAAATGTCTGTTCATGTCTTCTGCCCATTTCTCGTTTGGATAATTTGTTCTTTGGGTGTTGAGTTTGACAAGTTCTTTATAGATTTTGGATACTAGCCCTTTATCTGATATGTCATTTGCAAATATCTTCTCCCATTCTGTCGGTTGTCTTTTGGTTTTGTTGACTGTTTCCTTTGCTGTGCAAAAGCTTTTTATCTTGATGAGGTTGCAATAGTTCATTTTTGCCCTTGCTTCCCTTGCCTTTGGCGATGTTTCTAGGAAGAAGTTGCTGCAGCTGAGGTCGAAGAGGTTGCTCCCTGTGTTCTCCTTTAGGATTCTGATGGACTCCTGTCTCACATTGAGGTCTTTCAGCCATTTGGAGTCTATTGGGGAGGCACCATTCTTACCCCCCAGCTCACAGGAGGTAATAAGGAAGCTGAGTAAGGGGCAGAGAAGTCATGTCCTTGAGCGCACAGAATTAATGAAGGGCCAAGCTAGGGCTCCAAGTCAGATTTATCCTGTTCTCAAGCTCAGGGGCTTTGTCAGGTCAACTCCCCATAGTCACCTCCACTTTCTCTGCTCTGACCACTGCGGTGCCCCCTGCCTTTCCAAAAAGCTCTCATCTGGATATATGCTTACTTATCATTTATATTCAGAAAGATCTGGAGTGCCAGTTCCAACAAACATACTGAAACACATCTGATAAACATATTTTACATCCAGGTGGATTTATGGAAAGACTACTGCCTGCCCCCCATTTCAACTGCCGGGTTGCTCAGAACTTAATATCAATCACAGAAATCTAGATTCACTTCTATGATAACATGCACCTCTTCTCATGAAGATCATATTCTAATAATGTTTTCACAGCTTTACCTTTAATGTGGCTTTTACTGGAAATAATTTTGGACTCAGGAAAGGAACAAATTTAAATTGAAAATACAATGAAGGGGCACCTGGGTGGCTCCATCAGTTAAATTTCTGCTTGGGCTCAGGTCATGATCCCAGGGCCCTGGGATGGAGCCCTGCATTGGGTTTCCTGCTCAACGGGGAGTCTGCTTCTCCCTCCCCCCTGCTCTTGCGGTCTTGCGTGCTCTCTCTCTCAAATAAATAAAATTTAAAAATCTTTAAAAAAAAAATGGAAAATACGATGAAATCTTCAAGCATCATTATCCTTCCCAGAGGCACCTGGATTTTGAAAGAAGCTCCTGTGATTCCATGGCAGGTCTCAGACAGCACCGGTGGGGGAGGGGGGGCGCCCTTTGGTGTAGACGGTTGGAGGGGGGCTGTCTGTGGCCTCCTCTCCCTTCTCCTGGCATCTGCACAGGGGTTCATCAATTTCTCAAAATAACCCTAGGAGACAGGTCCTACTCTTCCCTCCATCTTCAGAGGAGGAAACAAAGCCCGGTTGCTCAGCCAGCAAGTAGTCGAGCAGGGTCCCCACCAGGCGTCTGACCTGGAGACCAGTCCCAGCCACCATGTCCCCACAACCACAAGCGGCACACTGCAAGTGGAGACCCAGTCGATTCAGCTTTCTTCGGCACCCCCACGCCTGGTCAAGTGGCCTGGGGGCCCCTCTGTGCGCCCCTCCTCACTGGACCCTGGAGCTCCCTAATGAATGCATCCTCCCTGCCTGCCTGGAGGGCCAGGCCGGTGCACAAGAAAGTCCATATATGCCACAGGGAGCACCCAAGGAAAGAGAAAGGCAGGATGAACTGTGATGACAGACAGGATGGGGACAGCTTGGGAGAGGAGAGAGCTCTGGGGACAGAGGGAGTGTCCTGTCTGGACTCCAAGAAAGGGCAGCCTTCCTGTGGTTTCAGACTAGAGGCCCTGGCCGGGGAGTCACAGCTACCCAGGCCACTTGGGGGCCAGAAGGAATTCCTACCAGCTGGGGAGAGGGGCCCTTGTGTAGATGGTAACAGGGAGCTTGTGGTGGGTTCTAAAGTTGGGAGGGACAGTCAGACTTGACGTTTAGAAGGTTGTTCTGGGAGCAGTGTGACATTACACCTGGGTGTGTCTGGAGGCAGAAGGACAATTGTGGGGGGGACAGAAGTGCCAGAGTGGGGGCCAAATCTGGAGGTGGGGAGGGGGCAGCCTGCTTGCCAAGGCGCCGCCCCTCTGTAGGGGCAGCGGGTGGCTTCTGCCCACCAGGCAGTCACAGGGCAATCCTCTCTGTCGTTTCAAGCAGAAACCCAAGGGAATAATGACACCTAAAACAAATGGGAAGGAAGGAAAGAAAGACCAAAACCTGAAACAGCAGAGAGGGAACCGACAGGTGGCGTTTGCCAACCAGGTAAGGCAGGCTCCCCGCCTTGAGGAGGGGTACCCCCTCTACTCCTGCGCAGTGCCTGGCTACGTTTTTTTAATTTAAGGCTCTAAAATCCACTCCTGCCCCACACTAACACCCAAAGGAATCACCAGCCCCCACCCCACACGCTGGCCGGCCCGGTGGAGCCTGGCACTTCCCAGGTGCCGGTCTTCCTCCTCTCACCGCCCCCCACCGCCACCGTTCAGGAATGCGGGCTGAGAGATGAGAACCCCCGGGCCTCCCTGCCCCCTGAGCGCTGCGGCTTCCCTGACGCCTTGTGGCGTCGCTCTGAAATAGCTGGGACCAAAAGTGAGGAGCGGCTGAGCAGCCACCAGCCGCCATCGTTGCTCCCCTCACCCGCCCCAGGGCCCAGAGCGGCCTCTCCTTTGGGCCCTTTGCCTGCCTTTCAGCAAACCCTTGAAATCAGCTCATTCTGGGGGCGGAGGAGGCCGTGCCAAGACCAGTTCCTCGTGGTTTAACTTCTCTCCCGTGCCTCTCAGAAGCCCTCAGAGCAAAGCGCCAAGAACGCCGTGGACCCAAAGGGAAAACGCCTCAGCATCGTTCCCAGCAACTACAAGGATGGGCCCAGGAAATCCGGTAAGGGGAGCATCTTGGTCCTGGGGTGCCAGACCGTCCTCCATAATCGCCGCTCCTCAGAGGGACGGGAAGCTGTCCTCAGCCCCGGCAGCTGTGCACGTCTGGCTGTGACCCGGATGGCCAGCAGGTGCACGTCTAGGCTCCGCCCACACCTGGGGCTTCTCTTCTCAGGATGCAGCAGGGTGTGCACCCCGGTTCCTAAAGCCCCTAAAGTCGGTGACAGCAACCTCGCCAGCTCCAAACTGTCTAATTAGGTACTGTGACTACATCAGTGTAGCACATGAGGTACCACAACTGCTGGCCCGAAACCTGCCAGCCCAAAACCTGCCAGGTGTGGCTCGCACCCAAAAAGAGGTAGGCTTAAGTTATGCCTGATCTCCAGTTCCCAGGGCTGCGCCTGGGGTTCGAACCTTGGCTCCACCACTCTGTAGTGAACTCAGAGTTGTGCAATCCAGGGTGAGTCAGCCACTCCATCTCTCAGGTTCAGTTTTCACATCTATAAAATGGGACAATAGCATGACTTGCCTCCCGGTCGAGTTTCAGTGAGACAAGGCATATAAAGCATGTAGCCTGATACAGACTAGGTGCTCAATAAATGGTGGCAAATAGCTTTTTCTAGGGGAAAAAATTTGCTAAAATGCTCAGGTGGGCTGTGCCATGGTGTTGGAAAAAGTTACGTTTATTGTGCCTGGTTTCTTGGAAAGGAGGTGTGTGGTCGAAGAAAGGTGGAAAGGATTCCCATTAGTCCAAAAGAGGAGTGGGCAAAAGCTTTCGAGTAGGGGCTGCCAGTTCTGCACAAAACTGCTCCCATTGTGCCCAGCAAAACGTCCTTTTTCCCCTTCTCATTTAATACACCAAAGCCGTTGAAACCAAACTGTGCTCACTTGCCTGTCAGATTTAAATATGATTGGCTCTAAATGCCATGCAGGATCCTGGACTGGATCCTAGAACAACACTTCAGTTGGAAAACTGGCAAAATCAAAGAAAAACTGTTATGTGCCAATGTTAATTTCTGAGTTTTGACAAATGTGCCCTGCTTGTGTAAGATGCTAACACTCGGGGAAACTGAGTGAGCAGTGCCCGGGAGCTCTCGATACCATCTTGGCAACCCTTCTGCAAATCTAAACTTACTCCAAAATAAAAAGTTTATAGATATAGATATGGATGTGGATATGGATACAGGTACGGATACGGATACGGATACAGATACAGATATATAGATAGATTGACATATGCCCCATGGGAGGCCCTACACCTTTCCCAAATCTTTCCCAAGTGACTCCTGATGCAATTCTGGCTCTGAAGACCAAGTTCCGCTGAGCCCCTGAGCATCTGCAGATCTCGATTCCAGTGGTTGCTCCCTTCTCCCTTTTTCCTGCCACTGCACACAGACACAGAGCACAGCTCTGTTTCCTTCATTTTCCCCCAAACCTCTCACATGAAGCCTTTGTGTGTAAACAGACTTTACTGAAGGTTTGGGGAAACGGAGGGAAAGAATTTCATGGCAGAATTATACAGAAAACAAAACAGAAGTTGATTACAAAACCCCCTTAAGGGTTCTTCCAAATCCTTGGTCCCCTGCCACCAGGAGATGGTCCTTGAATGTATTTGCTTGCAGGGAGTCCCCTCCAGCTGTCTTGCTCACCCCTGCACTGGATAGAATGAGCCCAGCCAGGCACCCAGAACATGAGATTTAAGGAGGCACTCACTCTCTAGTACTGACTCTTCACTTGCATGAGCCTGAGAGTGAGCACCTCCTTAAATTTTGCCCCCCCCCCCCAGGCATTTGGCTGGTCTCACTCTAGTCCTGGGCCTGCCTAGCTCCCACCTCTTCCCCTCTATTTCCTCTCCCCTCTCCTCCATCCTCTGCTGTCCTCACCCCACAATTCCTATTGGCTTGTTACCTGGAAAGATCACTTACTTTCCTTTGTTTCTCTGTCTTAGTCCACACTCAAAGAGTCTATCAAGGTATTTTCCTAAACAAAGGCAGTTCCTTCCCTAAGAGAAACTCACATACCAGCTGATTAAATAATCCTTTTCATAAAACTGCACAAAAATGCCAGCAGGGCAGACTGACTTAGCAGTTCTTTGGTTCTCTGCAGTCCCCCTGCCCCCCACCCCCAAGACAAAAATCCAGGGGCGCCTGGGTGGCTCAGTTAAGCGACTGCCTTCAGCTCAGGTCATGATCCCACGGCCCTGGGATCGAGTCCCGCATCAGGCTCCCTGCGCTGCAGGGAGCCTGCTTCTCCCTCTCCCACTCCCCCTGCTTGTGTTCCCTCTCTCGCTGTGTCTCTCTCTGTCACATAAATAAATAAAATCTTTAAAAAAAAAAAAAAAGACAAAAATCCACCCTGTACAGAGGGGACCTTTTTTCCTACCGTACGTAATACAACAAATGGCCACTGGGGGGCAGCAGGTGCTCCGTTGCAGCAGGTGCTCAGAGGCACCCAGGAACCACCTGGACATCCAAGTGTGGCACCCAGGAATGGGTCAGGGCTGAGTCTGAGCACAGCAAGGGGAGCTTCCTGTGCAGGCCAGCCAGAGGCCCAACATGAGTGGGCAGGATCTGGTTTCGGGGTCAAGTTCAAGACAAAGCAGCCCCTAGGAAGGGCATGGGGCCAGTTGAGGGCTGGGCGGGAGTCCATGTAGAGATACACATGGATCAAGGAAGGGTATTCTAGACCAGGACTTCTGGTTCTGGCCTCCCCGGCCTCGCTCAGTACCTGAATCATCGGTGTCCTGGTTTTCCTAGAAGCAGAGTGAGCTCTTTGCACTCTTGAAGCTATGTTTCTGTGTGATCTGGTGAGCAAGAGTCTGTGAGGAATGACCATCGGACACACCACTGATGTGACCACTTGGTCTGTACAGACACAACAAATCCCACTGGTCCACATCTGTAGTGTTGTGATGGTCACAGGATCTAAACCTGTGAAACACGGTATGTCCCCCATGAGGGACAGATAACTGTCTCCAGCTCCAGAACCCCAAAGCTAATAGAAAACAGCAATGACATCCCCAATGTGGAGCACGGTGCTTTTCAAAGCTGAACGCTTCATCTTCGTCCCCTCTCCCCATGTTCACAAAAGCTCCCATTCACTCCTCTTACCAGCTGAAATGCCACGTCCATCCGCCGCTGACCACCACCCTGACATCAGCCTGCTGCACACAGATGCTGTGTACCATGGGCCACTTCCCTCTCCCCACGGCCTCTCCTCCCTTGAATTCCCTGAGAACAGCCTTTTCTGTTTCCCCCTCCTCTTTCATCACTCCCCTGGCCCCCCTCCAAGGGCCACCAAGTTGGTTTTGAATTTGTAAAAGGTCACTCCAGCGTTGGGCCAGCAAAAGGCCCTAGGAAAGCAATTGGAACACGTTTCCAAAGTAAATCTTGGCAAAGTCTGAGCAGCTAGACTAGAAAAGGGGCATTCACTTGGCTTTCTCTCCCTGGGCACCTATGCCCAGGGCATTCTGTAGATGCAGTGCAGGAGTGCATCCCTAATGCAGAGGTCTGGAGGGCAATGATTACCCTCTGTTTCCATGAGCACAGAGTAAGCCCCAGGAGTCCCAAACACAGCCCTCTAGAAATCGAACTTACCTCTTCAGTCACAGACTCAGGAATAGGTGTCATTTTTGCCCAGATGGTAGCCAGGATGGGTGCCCAGAAAAAGGGACCAGCAACCTAGGCTCACATTTTCCTGGATCCACCACCAGTTAGCCCTGGCATGTTTGGTACATGACTTAATCTCTCTGATCCTCAACTTTCTCATTTGTTAAATGGGCATGATATGGTTGTGAGACTCTAGCGCTTCTCTCCCTGGAAAGCTCCTTGAACACTGCCTGGCACATAAGTCACTCATTAAATATTAGTTCATATGTTTAATTATCATTGCCATTTATATGACTACTATTCTTTCCTACATGAGACCTACCTTGACCCAGAGGGTGCTCGGATATCTCAGAAAAGGCTATGGTTCTTTCTACAAGGGATTTCCCATTTGTGCTGATGAGGATATGCAGCTCATGTTTCTTCCGGAACATAGCACCAATTCCCACTACGCATAAACAGGAGTGGCTAAGGCCCCCTGGCCAAGGACCTGCTATCAATCCAGAGCACCAAACTGGGCATACAGAGTCCCAGTTTAGCCCCTAATTCATATGAGACCTTGGGCAAATCACAGCCTCTTTCCAGGAGGCTGTTCCTCCATTTATATAACTGTGGGGGATCTAGACTCATTCCCCCCAGACATATCCCAGTAAAATTCCTGAACTTTACTGGTGAAATCCTTCAGGCTTACAGGAAGAACAATTTACTTACAAAGGGAAAAAATGCTCTGGGTGAGAACAGAGGCACAAACTAGGAAATAATTGGTTTAAAAGTCAGAATCTAGATACACTTAAAATCAGGTTTAATATGAAGATTGAAAACAAAAGGATAGGCCAAGAGATGAAATGCAAACAGATGAGGTGTAATTAAGACTAAAAGAAACACGTAGGGTAAAAGAGGGATATTTTTAAATGTTAAAGAGAATAAATAAAAATCATAAGCTTACACATACCAAAAAATACATTAGCTAAAGAGATAATTATTGGGAGCTGCAAAAAGAACCTAATAAAATACAGTTAAAGTGGGAGATTTTAATATACCTCTTTTAGAGTAAAATAGACATAACTTCATATTTGAATAGAGAATGCATTTTTCTGTGGCCAAAGAATATCTACAAAACTCATCTGCCTATTCACCATTAAGAAAACATTAACTTTCAAAAAGTAAAAATTTTAGGGCAACCTACATTATCCTAAAGCAGTAATTGGAAATAAAATTTAAATTAAAAGATATTCCCAACTTAACAGTCAGAAATTAAGAAATATACTCCTAAAATAACCCATATCAGAGAAAAAAAGCTCATGAAAATAAGCCTGGTTTCTTACTTATGGGAACAAAGGCAAAATCTATCCTGAGAAGAAAATTTATAGTAACTAAAATTAATAATTCTTGTCTTTATAACACACACACACACCAAAAAAATGAATATATTGAGCAGTTTACTATTTATAATAAGATAGGAGAAATAATTAATATGAAAGAGAGAGCTTTCATACACTAAATACCAGCTGAGATTAATGAAACCCAAGATAAAAACTAGTTAAAAGGGTAAGTCCTAAATCCAAAGCTAACTTTTTGAAAATGCAAGTGATGAATAGTATGAACTCCTCATGACCATTGTTAAGAAGAATAAAGAGGTGCCTGGGTGGCTCAGTTGGTTGAGCATTTGACTCTTGACTTCAGCTCAGGTCATGATCTCAGGATCGTGAGATCAAGCCCCGTATCAGGCTCTGCGCTCAGCAGAGTCTGCCTGAGATTCTCTCCCTCTCCCTCCTTCTCTGCCCCTCCCCCTGCTCATGCTCTAAATAAATAAATAAATAAATAAATAAATAAATAAATAAATAAAATGTTAAACAAAAAGAGAAGAGTAAAAGTGTACAAGATTTGGTATGAGAAAGAATACATGAGCAAAGATGAGAAATACATTGACTGAGCTATAATAGAACACTAGATGCACCTCTTTCTGATATATTTGAAAACCTAGAAGAAATATATCATTTCCTCTCATACAATAAATTATTAAAATTGACACAATAAAGTTGAAGAGAGCAATTTCTAAAGTAAAAGTTGAAAGCTGGTTGACACTTTCCCACTGAACAAGTCACCAGGACAAAAGACTTCACACCAGATTCTACCTTTTCAAGAATGAATAATCTCAATATCACGTCAACTATTCCAGACCATATAAAATACAGACTCTTCTGCATTAATCCAACAAGCCACCAGAGCCACAATATTAAAATATTTGCAAATAAGTAATACAAATGTAAAAAATATATTAAAAATTTTAGCAAATGTATGAAAATTTATCAATGTATGAAATTAGTAACATGCCATGTTACTAATCCCCAAATGGGGTTTCTTTTTTTTCCTTCTTTTGAGAGAATGAAGTTTATTTATTTAAAAAAATTTTTTTTTCTTTCAAATTTTATTTAAGGGGTGCTTGTATGGCTCAGTCATTAAGTGTCTGCCTTCAGCTCAGGTCATGATCCCAGGGTCCTGGGATTGAGCCCCACATCGGGCTCCCTGCTCGACGGGAAGCCTGCTTCTCCCTCTCCCACTCCCCGTGCTTGCGTTCCCTCTCTCGCTGTGTCTGTCTCTGTCAAATAAATAAATAAATAATCTTTTTAAAAAAGGTTTTATTTAAATTCAAGTTAGTTCACATACAGTGTAGTATTACTTTCAGGGGTAGGACTTAGTGACAAATAGGATTTCTTATAGCAGGTCAGGAATGGTTAGGTTATCACTATCAGAATATCTAAGACCATAATTTATTCCATCAATAAAGTGGAAAAACCATACGAGCATGTCAGTAAATGACAGAAAATCAAAAAGTAGAATCAAGCAATTATTACTAATAAAAACTTGATGTAAACTAAGAATTAAGCTCCTAATATTATAAACATACTAAAAATAGTGGCAAGTATCATTCTAAATGATGAAATGCTAATTATTTTAATTAAAATCAGGAACAAAATGAGGCATCTGCTATCATCATTATTGACATTGTGTTAGAAAGTCTGTCAAATGCAATATGTCAAGAAGAGTATATAATTTTTCTAAATGTTAGAAGGAAGTTATTTTCATTTTTCCCCTGATATGATTACATATCTGTAAAGCTCAAGAAATTCTAACAGGAAAAAAATACATTGTAACACAATAGCCTTTTCTCTATACTAGTCCCATTTCCAGAAATGGAAATGGAAAGAAAACATCCCATTCTCATCGGTAAAAATCTATAAAATACTTAGTGGTAAATTTGGCAAGAAGAAAAAAATTAAATTCTCCAAGCACTAGCCCCCACAGTATTTAATTCAGTACAAACTCCATATTTGGGTAACATCAGACACTCACCATTTCATTTCATATATTTGCGTCTTTGTGCATGCTGTTCCTCCTGCTGTACATGCCATTCCTCCTGCCTGCACATGCTGTTCCTCCTGCCTGAGCATGCTGTTCCTCTTGCCTGTATATGCTGTTCCTCTTCCCTGCACTTGCTGTTCTTCCTGCCTACACATGCTGTTCCTCACACCCACACATGCTGCTGCTCCTGCTGCACATGTTATTCCTCTTGTCTGTACATGCTATTCCTCCTGTCTGTACATGCTGTTCCTCACACCCACACATGCCGCTCCTCCTGCCTGCACATGCTGTTCCTCCTGCCTGAGCATGCTGTTCCTCTTGCCTGTACATGCTGTTCCTCTTGCCTGCACATGCTGTTCTTCCTGCCTACACATGCTGTTCCTCTTGCCTGCATATGATGTTCCTCACACCCACACATGACGTTCCTCCTGCCTGCACATGCTGTTCCTCCTGCCTGAGCATGCTGTTCCTCTTGCCTGTACATGCTGTTCCTCTTGCCTGGACATGCTGTTCCTCCTACCTGTACATGCTGTTCCTCACACCTGTACAAGCTATTCCTATGCCTGTATATGCTGTTCCTCGCACCTGCACATGCTGTTCCTCCTGCCTGCAATATTTTTCTCCCCTTTCATCCAAGAAATTGTTTTTCCTTTAAAAACCCCACCTGAACAAACCAAAGGAAAAAAAAAAAACGAACATCTCAGAGTTTATCTTTGATAGCTTTCCCTAGCTTCCCCTACCTCCTCCAGGCAGAGGTTCCCTTTAAGTGAGGAGGGACTGAAGAGAAGATGGCGAGATGGGGACGAAGACAGGAGGGAGGGAGCCGAGGAGACAGTGAGAAAGGAGGGAGGTAAAGACGAGCGAGAATTAAACTGATGAGGGGAAGAGCCCGAAGAGCGTGGAAGAGAGCTGTCAGAACAGGTATTTGTTTGAAGCCCAGGCTGTCTTGCAGGCCTCCCCCGCTTCCTGCGCGTCCTGTCTCTCCCCTCCACCAGCTTGAACTCCCTGATGACGACTGTCCAATTTCAGACCTGGACATCAAGGACGCAATCGCGCTGGAGTCCGCTCAGCGGCCCCTGCCCTACCGCCACCAGAGCATCCTGGACCCCGCGCTGCAGGAATCGCCTGTGTTCGGTGGTCGGAAGTCCACCCTCCTGAGAGACTGGGTAATAAGCAGGACGACCGAGATCTCCTATGAGCGCAAGCTGAAGAGTCTCATGGAGAAGGGCACGGAGCCCAAGGTGGAGCTGGTGAGGATGCTGAAGCCGGAGGAGGTGCTGAGCTGCCGGTGAGCTGCCCTGGCAGGCGGGGCTGGGTGCCCGGGGTGGCGGGACAGGCTTTGGTCAGCACCGTGAGCTGCAGGGACCTGGGCTGAGTGTGGGCAAGGGAAGGGCGGGCGGCAGTGGCAGGACTGGGCTCTGTCTTTGTGTCCTGAAGGGCCGTTCCGGGGCAGAAGCCACGGGTTCCCCGGCAACCTCACTAGTGGGGGAGCTCTGGGATGGGCACGACATTTGGGTGCTTTGACGCCACGCCTTTGGGCACTGACACCACCCTTCCAATATTTCCATATGTTTCACAATTGAAACCATGAATATCATCCAAAAAGAAAGAATGCATTGTCTATGGCCTATTTTTAACAGGAAATCCCCCTACGAGCCTTCACTCCGCCTGTGGAGTTGCTGGGGGTCCTCCCCACCATCCCCGATGGCCATCTGCTCAACGTGTGGGGGTTTAAACTCCCAGAGGCACTAGGAACAGAGTGTGAAGCCGTTTGGTATTTACTGCTCTTACCAGAGGTCTTCCTACTCCCGTGTTCTTTTTCTTATTCATCGGGACCTGCTGGTTTCCATCCCCAAATTCAAGTACCCCTCCCAAGCCCGGTGCTAGCCTTTCTGTAAAGACATGGCTGACAAGGCTCAGAAACTTCAATAGAGGAGGAAACAGACAACAGAATAATGTGGATGTCCTTCTAGACGGAACAGCAGGGAGCTCCTCTGTAAGTTTCAGATGGCCTCAGATGCCTGGCATCCAGTGACCCCATTACAAAGTCCTGCTCTGCTCACCGAGAGATGGATGGTTGGAATGGCAGCCTCCCCAGCCAAAGGGGGCTTCTTGCTCGACCTTTCCATGGATGGATGACTTTGGCGATGGCTTTCAGTTTGACAGGGTGATGCTCGTTGACTCTGGCCAACAGACAGCCTACCTGGGCTTCATGGTGGGCAGAAAAGAGATTTGGACAGGGCCCCCACCCTCCAAGGAGGGAGAGTGAATATTTGGAAAGATGGCATCCAACGAGGATTAGAAAAACATCCAAGGAAAAGATGAAATTGTCCAGAATGGGATCTTCGTGAGTGCTGACATGTACAAGTGTGTGAGACCCTCGAGGCCTGGGTTGGGCAGAAGCGGAAGGAGCAGACCCTGCCTGGCACTGTCAGAGAAAGGTGGTCCAGACACAGGGCTGGGGAGTGGGGTGTCAGATGGCTGTAAAAACAGGTAAGCGCCGGGCAGATCTTGAAGGACAAGGAGACCATTCCCAATGGGTGGAAAACCCAGGTTATTTCAATATGCAGCTCCTCCCCCATCATCTGTAGCAAAGTACCCAACCAGCAGGTGGCCTGAGTAGGGGACCAACCTCCTTACACTAAAGCTGGGAACAAGGTCAAAGCCGCTGGTAGAATAAGGAGCTCAGAGGATACGCCAGCAGAGATACGCTCTAGACCACACAGTGTCAACGGGATCAGTTCCTCTCCAGTGTAAGTCAGAATTGTGGGGCTTTAGCTGAGATTTTAAATCACTGGCCCAATTTTTTAATTGTTTGAATATTATTAAAAGAAAATACTCCCACCCTGAATAGCCAGAGGAATGTTGAAAAAGAAAAGCAAAGCTGGCGGCATCACAATTCCGGACTTCCAGCTCTATTACAAAGCTGTCATCATCAAGACAGCATGGTACTGGCACAAAAACAGACACATAGATCAATGGAACAGAATAGAGAGCCCAGAAATGGACCCTCAACTCTATGGTCAACTAATCTTCAATAAAGCAGGAAAGAATGTCCAATGGAAAAAAGTCTCTTCAACAAATGGTGCTGGGAAAATTGGACAGCCACATGCAGAAGAATGAAACAGGACCATTTCCTTACACCACACACAAAAATAGACTCAAAATGGTTGGAAGACCTCAATGTGAGACAGGAGTCCCTCAAAATCCTAAAGGACAACACAGGCAGCAACCTCTTCGACCTCAGCTGCAGCAACTTCTTCCTAGAAACATTGCCAAAGGCAAGGGAAGCAAGGGAAAAAAATGAACTATTGGGACTTCATCAAGATAAAAAGCTTTTGCACGGGAAAAGAAACAGTCCACAAAACCAAAAAAGACAACCGACAGAATGGGAGAAGATATTTGCAAATGACATATCAGATAAAAGGCTAGTATCCAAAATCTATAAAGAACTTATGAAACTCAACACCCAAAGAACAAAGAATCCAATCAAGAAATGGGCAGAAGACATGAACAGACATTTTCCCAAAGAAGACATCCAAATGGCCAACAGACACATGAAGAAGTGTTCAACATCACTCGGCATCAGGGAAATCCAAATCAAAACCTCAATGAGATACCACCTCACACCAGTCAGAATGGCTCGAATTAACAAGTCAGGAAAAAACAGATGTTGGCGGGAATGCGGAGAAAGGGGAACCCTCCTACACTGTTGGTGGGAATGCAAGCTGGTGCAGCCATTCTGGAAGACAGTATGGAGGTTCCTCAAAAAGTTGAAAATAGAGCTACCCTACGATCCAGCAATTGCAGTACTGGGTATTTGCCCCAAAGATACAAATATAGGGATCCGAAGGGGTATGTGCACCCCGATGTTCATAGCAGCAATGTCCACAATAGCCAAACTGTGGAAAGAGTCAAGATGTCCATCGACAGATGAATGGATAAAGAAGAGGTGGTATATATATATACAATGGAATATTATGCAGCCATCAAAAGGAATGAGATCTTGCCATTTGCAACGACGTGGATGGAACTGGAGGGTATTATGCTGAGCAAAATAAGTCAAACAGAGAAAAACATGTATCATATGACCTCACTGATATGAGGAATTCTTAATCTCAGGAAACAGAGGGTTGCTGGAGTGGGGGCTGGGGTCGGAGGGATAGGGGTGGCTGGGTGATAGACATTGGGGAGGGTATGTGCTATGGTGAACGCTGTGAATTGTGCAAACCTGTACCTCTGAAACAAATAACACATTATGTGTTAAAAAAAAAAAAAAAAGAAGAAGAAGAAGGTAGCGGGAGGGGAAGAATGAAGTGGGGGAGATCAGAGGGGTAGACGAACCATGAGAGACGATGGACTCTGAAAAACTAACAGGGTTCTAGAGGGGAGGGGGGTGGGAGGATGGCTTAGCCTGGTGGTGGGTATTGAGGAGGGCACATTCTGCATGGAGCACTGGGTGTTATGCACAAACAATGAATCATGGAACACTTCATCTAAAACTAATGATGTATGGTGATTAACATAACATAATTAAAAAAAAGAAGAAAGAAAATATGCTCCCTTTTCCTACAATTTTACTCAGCTTTTATTGCCATTGTTCCGTATTTCGCGCGGGCCTTGCATCGCTGAGGTTACACACACCTGTTAGTGATGGAAGCCCTGACGATTGCCTCTCTCACGGGCATCACGCATCACCATCACCTAGGGCACCTGCTTCTGCCCAAAGCCATGTCAAGGCTGGCGGGAGCACCCTTGAGATGGGTATTCCATGATTTGCTTAACCACTCCTCGGTTGATGGAATCTCCTCTTTTCCTGTTGTTGATAACCCTGAAGTGAACACTTTGATTTATATAGCTTTTCATTCCATTGACTTCTCTTCTCAGGTTCAGTTGAAGGCCTGAGTGGAGTTCCTGAGTCAAAGATAATGAAGGAACTTTTGCGGGGAGGGGACTTGTGGGGATAGGGCTGATGCCTGGCACATATGTTGCCGAATTAATTTCCCAAAGAGTTATACCAATAAAACTCCCACCAACTCTGTGGGGTGTCCCACTCTTTTATAGGATCTCTGTCAGCTCCAGAAGTGTCTGCAGAGCCAGTTCTCGTGAGAGATCCCACAGTGCTTAAATCTAAGCTCTTTTCAATAAAGTTCGAAGCAGGGCGCCTGGGTGGCTCAGTTGGTTAAGCGACTGCCTTCGGCTCAGGTCATGATCCTGGGGTCCCGGGATCGAGTCCCGCATCGGACTCCCCGCTGAGCGGGGAGTCTGCTTCTCCCTCTGACCCTCCCCACTCTCATGCTCTCTCTATCTCATTCTCTCTCTCAAATAAATAAATAAAATCTTTTAAAAAAATAAAATAAAATAAAGTTCAAAGCAATGGTGACTCCACGCTCAACTGACCTCTCTGGCCTTGTCTCGCGCAGATACCTGAGGTTGTCCAAGAACAACATTCGGACCTTGCTCAAGCTATGCAAGGACGCAGGCATGATCGTGGACATCCACCCCCACATGGTCGAAGGAGACATAGATGCTAAAAAGGTGTTCGCCCAAAACCCCAGCGTGGCCCTCTAGGTCACCACAGGCTCTCTCTGCTATTGGGCCCTCGGCCCCCAAACAGCATCCTCTGGTACACCCTGCCTAGGCCTTCAGACCTGGGGCGTTCCTTTTAGACAGCAGCCATCAGAAAACAAGGCTAAACTGCATACATCATCGTGCAAATGTAGCGTTTGTCCTTGACCCGAGTCAGAACCAACGTAGGGGAAGCTGTGGGTCTTCTCCCCACCAAAAGAAGACTGTAGAAAGGCCTTCTTGGAAAAGAAGTCTTAGAGGTGAGAAATAGAGACCCAGGGTCCCCAGAGGGACATCAGGAGGGGCAAAGGGCTGAGGGGCTGGTTGGGGATACACACACCGCAGGTCTTACACACCACACCACCCCTGCCATGTGGGACTGGGGGGAGCTGAATGCCACACCTTCAAGGGGCCGCTTGGTGCTTTCAGACTCTCAAGGGGGGGGGCTGCCGCGGGAGTCTCAGCTCTCAGACCCGAGGTGCCCCTGCAGAGTCGAGTCGGGGTGCAGGCTTCCCTGGGGTTTAGTAGAGACTGGAAGAGAGAGGGGAGAGGAATGCAGAGGAGAGACCTTGCCCCACCCCAGACCCTAGGGCCCCCTGGGTGCTCTCCTGGGGTCCAGAGGGCTTTTCTGTGTGGACTCCACAGGCACAAGGAGCCTCCAACTCAGCTTCTTGACATTCTGACCAAATAAGCCTAGAGTGAGCCCCAAGATTCACAGCTAGCATTGAGAAAGGAACACTTATCATTAGTTATCAGGAATGCAAATGAAAAGGAACCCCAAGCCAGTGTCCCTTGGCAGACAGCGCCTCCTGTAGCACACTAGTACTTTATAAACTCTGAAATGGTCTCGTGATTACATTTTCTAGTAGAAACAGACACATACACCGGGAACAGATTCACACAGGTACAGTCCCCTGGTTTATGGCAAAGGTGACACTGTGATGCAGTGGGGGAAAAGACAATCTTTTCAATAAATCAGGCTGGTCAATTAAATGTCCATATGGAAAAAAATATGGACCCTCCGCCTCTCGCTGTATGCAAAAATCAGTTCCAGATGGATGCAGATTGTGAAAGCTTCTAGAAGAAACGTAGAAGACAGTCTCCATGACCTTGGGGCAGGCCAAAAAATTTTAAACAACACACAAAGCCTCAGTAATAAAAGAAAATATTAATAAATTCTATTCATAATGCAAGTAGAACGTCTGTTCATCAAAACTCATCAGGAAGAGAGTAAGAATTCAAGTGACCCCAGTGGGAGAAGATAGATCAGACAAAGGGCTCATACGCAGATGACCTGTTTTCAACTCTTATAAATCAGTATGAAAAAGGCAGATAACTCAATCAAAAAGTGGGCCAAAGTCTTGCATAGGCACTTTACACGCGTTTAGCTAAGTGACCAACAAAAATAAGAAGTTTTGTTAGTTATCAGGAATGCAAATGAAAAAAAAGAAGGCAGCAGCACTAACACCTACCAGAATGGCTAAAAAGAGTGACGAGGGGCGCCCGGGTGGCTCAGTCAGTTAAACCTCTGCTTTCGGCTCAGATCGTGATCCCAGAGTCCTGGGATCAAGTCCCACATGGGGCTCCCTGCTCACTGGGGAGTCTGCTTCTCCCTCTCCTCCCTGCTCATGTGCTCTCTCTCACTATCTCTGTCTCCTTCTCAAATAAATAAAATCTTTAAAAAATAAAAAGAGTGACGATATTAACTATAGATTGAAAATGTAGAGCAAGGAGAACACTCAACCCATGATTGGGATGGGCGATTGGCATTACCACTTTGGAAAACTAGCAGTTATCTACAAAAGTTGCATATACACCTATGGTGTGGTCCAGTGTTTCCGTTCTTAGATACACACTTCACAGGATCGTACAAGTAGGTGCACCAAAAGACTGTCCCAGAATGTTCATCATTCAATATAGCCAAATGCTGGAATCCACCCAAACAAGCATTGGCAGTAGACCGGATAGCTCGCGGAATATTCATACAATGGAATACTGCATCAAAACGAGAAAGAACAAATATGGATGAACGAAGCACACAACATCATGCAGAAGTAGCACGATACAAAAGAGAACAACTGTATGGTTCGTGTATACAACAATCCCCCAGGCGAGACGAATCTCCCGAGTTAGAAGCCAGGATAGTGGCAGTCCCCGGAGGATGGTGTGTCGTGGCTGGAGGGGCACCTGCACTGTTGCCTACAGAGGTGTTCACTTGTGAAGTTCATTCTCTGTACACTGGGGATTTATGCCTTTTAGGCAAGTACATACTTTAATTAAAAGTACGTTTTTTAAAAGTCTACTAACAGAGTTCTGGTTTTGTTTGCTAAAAACAGTAATAGCCTCAAAAGTGAAGCAGTTCAGGTTCCCTCCACCAGCAAGGTGAAGCTGACCAGGGGGGTATAAACTTCCAGTTATAAGAAAAGTAAGTCCTGGGGATTAACATAAGAATAAAAAATAATAATAATAAATAAATAAATAAATAAATAAATAAATAAATAAATAAATAAAATCTTCTAAAAAAATAAAAATCTAAATAAAAAAAAGAAAAGAAAAGTAAGTCCTGGGGATGTATACGTCATGAGGACTTTGGTTAATAATGGGGTGCTGTATATTTGGGGATTGAGTATATTTGGATCTTGAAAATTCTCATCACAAAAAAATTTATCTTGCACACCCGAAACTAATACTTTATATGATAATTATATCTCGATAAAAAATAAAATTAGAAAAACTATTTTTTAAAAATAGGAGCCTCCTGAAAAACAAACTGAGGGTTCTAGAGGGGAGGGGGGTGGGAGGATGGGTTAGCCTGGTGGTGGGTATTGAGGAGGGCACATTCTGCATGGAGTACTGGGTGTTATGCACAAACAATGAATCATGGAACACTTCATCTAAAACTAATGATGTAATGTATGGGGATTAACATAAGAATTAAAAAAATAAAAATAAAAATAAAAAATAGGAGCCTCAAAAGTGAAGGTGGGTTGGGGGTTCCTCCCCCACTTCCCCTCCACAACTGCAGTTCCCCCTCAGCACCACCAGGTGGGGCTCGATCACAGCAGAAGACCTGCACCCACGCTTGTCCTGCTGGTGGAGGCGTCAAGCCCAGGTGAGGGGCCGCGGAGCCCCAGGTGAGCCCAGAGCCTGTGGACAAAGCCCAGCCAGGCATGCACCAGCTGAGGGCCCCTGGGCACGTCACTTCTCTAAAGCTTCAATTCTTCCCCCAAAACGGGGACAAGAAGTGCAATTTAAAACAACAATGAGGTATCACTTCATACCTAATTAGACTGGGAAAATACTAGTAAGCTGGGGAAAGCCAGTGTTGTCCCAGATATGAAATAAAGGAGCTTCTGGCTTCGCCGGTAGGTAGTGCAGACCACTGTGGCCTTTCTTGGTGAAGTCACACAGACATCACCCTGACTAGCAATCCCACTCCTAGGTGTATAGTCCAAAGAAGTTCCATCACAGATCTATTTGATCCCCACCCCCCCGTGTTGACAGGTGCCTGGGTGCTGGGGCCGCCCATGCGTGGGAAGATGGGCGGCAAAACGTGGTGGCATGAGCTGCGACACACTAACCTTCATACATACCTATAAACAATACATTGCCTATATGAACATGTGTAAATGCACTAGGACAGCTGAAGTAGGAGAGGGAAGGAAAGAAGGGGGGAGGGAGGGAGGAAGGAAGGGAGGGAGGGAGGAAGGAAAGGAAGGAAAATGTGGACAAGAACACCAAGTTTCTAGGGTGGTTATGAAAAGAAGAACCTAAGGGAAGCTTCTATAGAATCTCTAGCATTTCGTGGGCACCCAAAAAATTATTTTCTACGTGTGCCTTTATACATTAATATTTCTTGAATTTCTGTTGTGTGTTAAGCAATGTACTAGGCTCTGTGAGACAATAATAAACCAAACAGACCAAAAAGAAAAATTCCTGCCACCATGAGCTTTGAACCTTATTCCGCAAACCTAGGTGTGAAAGAAATGGCATGTTTTCCTAAAGCAAATGACTATCGGTCCGATTTTGTGTCCCTGCCATGCTAGACTGGTGGGAAACTCAATTTCAGTCTTCGGTGGGGCTCCCTCTGTCCACAGCCCCAGGTCCCGGGATATAACACAGAGTGGTACCCCAGGGTATATAGAATTCCCTGTCCTTGGTGTCAGTCAACACTGGTCACTGCTGACTCACTATGGGTCACAGCCCACAAAAGCCCAAAAGTTCCTTATAGATGGGAAGCTCCATTTGGTTCTGCACCAAGCTGGCTCAAGGATTTCTGCAGGGAGGCCCCAAGGCTACGATCCTGCCTCCTGAGAGGGGCCACAGAGCCATGGCTCCCAGGAAGGACCTGTCACCTCCAGGATGCTGACAATGAAGATACATCTCCATCACAGCAATGCCGGCTCCCTTTTCCATGGCTTATGCTTCTTCTCCCCCCAGTTCCCACCTCAAAGCACCCAGGCTATCGGGCCAAGGCACTCAGGCTGTCTGCAGACACCTTCAGCCCCTGGTCTGGCAACAGAAGATCCTGTAGATGGTGAGCCAGCGGCTGGCCTCTGGGAAGGTAGGGGAGGGAGGAAAAAATGCAGAGAAGCAAGCATAAAGAATTCTCAGGCTTTTAAATTCTTCTCCCAGGGTGCAAACAAAAACACAAATTTAAATCACCATAAATAGCCCTGACATCATTCATATTTCTAGGCTCTTATTTACTCAACACGGTGGTTGAGCACTTGCGGAATGATGTGTCTTCTAGGCACTTGTGGGGCCTTCGGTGATGGGTGTGAAGATGGTGAGAGGGAGGTGGTTGTCCCAATCCAGTTTATTTGGCTGCCAAAAATAGTCGACTATGGCAAAAAAAAGAAAATGCATGTATTTATGTACATGTGTATATAATAGAAACGTATACATATTTGCGCACACATTGTGCGTACCTGTGTGTGGATACATGCATGTGTCCAATGCATTGTGTGCGTATGTGTAGGATGCATGAATGTACGCAAATG